TGCTGTAGCTCGGCTGCTGCTGCGGCGGTCCATGAAGTTGCTGTTGCTGGGGATGCTTCTGTTGAGGCTGCTGTGGCTGATGCTGCTGTGGCTGATGCTGCTGTTGCTGAGGCTGCTGCTGCTCCTGTTTCTTCTGACGGTCGCGTTGAGTGCGGCACTGGGCGTTGGTGTGGGACAAGTGCGGATGTAGGTAGCAGTGGTCGCTGTCGGCTCCGCTCTCTCCTGCTTTCTTGTTTCCTCTCCCTCTGCTCCTGCTCCGACTCCGGGCGCCTCCGTCTCCGTCCTGTCCCCCGCCGTTTCCACTCGACCCATTTTGGACACGTCCATCGCCCCGGATACCACCGGAAGCGACGAACGCGTGCCCCGCGCCATTCTTTGGTTCCTCCTCCCGACGGCGAAGCAATTCCGCATGGGCATCTCGTACACCCTTTTCGATTTTTTCGCGCGAGGGGGGAATCGGTGACATAGTCAGAATTTTCTTTTCCATCGTGTACTCGTCGGAAAGGTGGTACACCATGTGGGCATTGGCATCTTCGTCGGAGAAAGTAACACCGTGCGAGGCTAGCCTACTGCGCAAAACAGCAAATCTCCCGAAGTATTCTTGGGGGGTCTCGCCTACTTTCATCTCAAGACCGTGGTATTGGGATGACAGTCTTTCCTTCTCCGCTCTGGCACGCGGCTCGTAATAGTTCAAGAAAATTTTCCAACCTCCGCTTGGACTACCATCAGCGATGATCTGGGTAAGGATTGGCATGTATGTTACAGACGTGATCAGCAGGTTCCACGCCGAAATTGCCTTCTCTACGCTACNCTTGCCTGCTCATCTTCCCCTTGCCTAAAAATCCCATCCCAAGGCGCTAGGCGCTTAACCTCAGTCAGGCGAATACTTCCTCCTGTATTGGGTACTCTACCGCTGTCCCGTGGTGATATCTGCAGGCGGCTGGTCAGGGCGTCGGCGAGAGTGCGGGCGATGTCATCTACGGCCGGGTTCGCCGATGGCCGCCCCGCTTGTTGCTGGTGGCGTGCCTCGTGCTCGCTTCCGGTCCGGACGTTCTCTGTCCTCTGCTCCTCCTCGTCTTGTTGCCGTCTTATGTCGGCCAGTCGTTGTTGTACCCTCATCTCCACCAAGTCGTTGATGCGGGCGTCCTCGTCTGCTGCGTGACGGGCGCCTCGTTCTTGGTCGGCGCTGGACATCGGTGACAGCTGCTGATCGCCGCAAAGCGATACTCCAAACTAAGCTCGACGCGAATCTCGTAGACGACGTGTCATACGCTAGCGTGATCGATAATTCGGGTGGCTCAGTTGTGTGCGATGGGAGTGTAGAGCAGCTCGGCCATGACGGGCCGTAGGGGTAGGTAAAGTCGTACAGACGTGTTGTATCCGTGTTGTCGTGTTGTAGTGTTGTATTCATCGGGGGCGTGCTCGTGCTCGTCAAACCATCACGGTATCGAGTCACGCCTTCATGCTTTCTCACACAACGAATCTCTCTGAATCCTCACGAAAAGCCTCTCACAACCAAGGAAAATATGTAGAAAGTTCCTGTTCCTCCGCATCTCATCACTGCAATATTCGTACGTACGTACATAACATCTCAACCATCATACTATGCACGAGTATATCGAATATAAGAGGGTGGTGTGCACTACATGTAAACCTCTTCGTAGTCTACAAGCGGTTTTTGGATTGTCCCGCAATATGCGCACCACCGCGGGCGACCACCACATGACAAAAGGAACGTGGACGCGCCGCAAGTCTGCTGGCGGGCTTCCTCTCTAAGTCCACTCACTGGTGCTGCCCGCCTCGTTCATGTTCAATGACGTTGCAGTCTTTGATGTGTCTTGGGTTGAAGCTCTTCCCACAGCCGCACAGCCACGAGCCATCTTCCTGTTGTGTCGCTAACCTTCGAAGCTCTGCAGAGACCACTAGTACAGGCTGCCCTTGGTTTTCCGCAGCCCCCCTTTGTGCTGCTGCTGTATCTTCTCGTGGTTGAGCAACACAGGTCGACATGGGAGCGAGGCGGTCCACCACGTAGTGCCGAGTGTCCTTATCTGCCGCAACTTGTGTCCTACCTTTTCCCGAGCCACGCGAGCCAGAGGGCATCCGCACAAGATCGTGGATATATACCTGATTTTGGGCGACTCTATTTGACGCACCTCCAGGAGGGCTCCCTCCCCTCTCATTTTTGTCTCATTTAGCTTTTGCCCACCACCGCCACGCGTGGGCAGCATACCACAGCAGACCGGACGTGTCCCTGATGGAGATATCTGACATGAATCCCCCTTCGGGCGGGCACATTGGCGGGCACGACGACACATTCTCAGATGGCAGTCTCAACAGCAGTGTCGGGGCCGAGCCAACCGATGAAGAACAACCCGAAGAACAGCACCACCAGAATCAGCAGCTGCATCAGGTAGGTA